TCCAGCGCAGTTGTGGACGAAACGTCAGGAAGAAATTCCCATGGACCACGGCTTCAAAGCCCGAAAACATTTCTAAATGTGATTTAACCGGCCCTAAAAGCATTCACAATCTGATTAGATGTTTGGCAAAATACTGCTGGAGATTCACGAAATTCACCGTAGCTGGCCAATTATTGTGAATAATTTTTCAATTTGAAGCTCATTGGATGTTTGCGACGTTGAAGTTTCGACTTTGAACGGAACGTTAAATTCAAAAGTTCCAGAAATCCAGCCAAAGTTTCAAACGCGAGTTTTAATTTTGCATAAATATAGTTGAAGTTTGCAATCTGAAATTTACATTTGAACTGGTCTCGAGCGCAACTTGAACTGCGATGGAACTAGTTTTGTGTAACCGGCCTCGAGAGTCTCAAAAAACGACTTTGAACTCAGACAAAAAAGTAGAAATTTTGGGCCTTAAAATGCGATTTAGAAACAGAATCGGAATTTTCAAATAAAATTTTGCAACATTTTGGAAACATAAAACTGCGAATTTTAGCCGGAAATTTTATGTTTAGATTTGGCAACTTTGGGCTTCTTGAACGTAAAATTTTGTAGTTAAAAATTGAGATTTCCAGAACAAAGTTGGCCTTTCGAAAACGAGTTTTAATTTTCAAAGACGCAATTCGCGCTTATGGAATTTTTGCTTCAGCTGAAAAAATCTTTGCATTTCAAGTTTTCATCCTGCAAGCTCAACACGCAAAAATTAGTTCCAAAGTGTGTGTTTAAAGTCAACGTTTTCATAGAAAAATCAGCAGTCGATTCGACGACTAAAACGCCGAAAATTGTCCACCAACGCAGAAAATGTTAGTGCAAAGTTGCAATTGTGGGTCAAAAGCTTCCGATAAGTTCTAAAAATTCTATACCTACTAAATGGAATGGCCTTTAAAATGGAAATGTCGACCATAAAATCGACCTATTTGAGGAAATTACTAGTTTTTTGATGGTTGCAGAGGAAAGCATAGACGTGACCAACGAAGAGGACGACACGCCCTCCTCAAATTGCGGCGTTTCGTCGAGTAGTGGCCCCCTCAGGCCCGAACCACAGCCGGCCTCCTTAGCCAGCAGCCTCTACCCACCGACCCACGAAACGATCTACGAAACCTCGGCAAGACTGCTTTTCATGGCTGTGAAATGGGCGAAAAACCTGCCCAGCTTTGCCAGCTTGCCCTTTAGGGACCAGGTACCGCTCGCCTATTTTCTGCCGGCTGCAAACCATCAGTCTGGATATCAAATTGCAGGTTATCCTGTTGGAAGAAGCCTGGAGCGAGTTGTTTCTCCTGAACGCCATCCAATGGTGCATGCCGTTGGACGTTTCGGCCAGCCCACTCTTCAACCTGAACGAGCACAGCAAAAATGGCAATTCCACTGCTGAGGTGCGCGTTTTGACCGACATCCTCATCAGGTTTAAGTCGGTCCATGTGGATCCTGCCGAATTCGCCTGCTTGAAAGCCATCGTCCTCTTCAGAGCTGGTAAGAAATCCGCAGCATCGCTGCTGTTCTTGTTTCAACACACTCGATTGTCCTAGAAACCAAAGGCCTGAAGGACCCGAGCCAGATCGAAAATCTGCAAGACCAGGCCCAAGTGATGCTGTGGCAACATTGCCGGACGCAACTGCCGGGCCAGGTTGCCAGATTTGGCAGGCTGCTGCTGATGCTGCCCCTATTGCGGATAGTGCCCGCTTCCAGAATCGAGGCAGTTTTCTTCCAGAAAACCATCGGCAACACCCCGATGGAAAAAGTGCTCTGCGACATGTACAAGAACTGACTAGTCGATTTGCTTGCTCTTCTCAAGTGAGCTCAAAAACCCTGTATAGAGTAATATATAAAAAAGTGTCAAATTAACTTAAGCAAAAAAAGTAGTCCCAGTTTGGCTAAATTGTTATACAGGCCCTTGTACGATGACCATGTTGTGATGTTTATGCTAGTCATGTATTATAAGTTCAACAAATAAAGTATATGTCTATAGTCATGTAGTTTTCCTAATAAAACACTCCAGTGGAGGCGAACCGGCAGCACTGCCTGCAGTAGGAACGCACACGCGACGGAGAAGTACAAAACTGTGTAGGCTGTAGCTCGTTGTTGCCAAACGTTTGAGAACTTCACGAGCTTGTTTAAAGATAATTTAAAAAACCATTGACCATTCAGTCGAGCTGGTGGATGGATTTTTGGGTAGTTTTGACGATCCAA